TTGCTGTAGCTATCTATATATGTTTCAGTACATATGCTTCCACATACTTCAGCCCTGATTTTCTACTGTTTCATTGCTACTACCTCATATGTTGCAGTAGCTATCTATACATGTTTCATTATATGTGCTTCCATATACAGCAGCCCTGATTTCCTAAATGTTGGGCCTTCATGTTTTTTGGTTGTATGTAGATTGCATACATGGACCACCTTAACATACCTGCTGACCGGGCTACTCACAAGATCAATTATTCTATCCCACGCATTTGCCATGCCACCAACAACGACTTTAAATTCATTGAAAGTGTTGACAGGAGTAGGCTGCAGCTTAATGCATATGGGTGGCAACCTGTGAGTTTGATGCTTTTTTATCTTCATTCATCTTTAGTCATTTCTTTTAGTCATTATGTTATTACTTGACATAATATATCTTCATTCATTGTTAGTTCTGAACGACCAGCCCCTACCCTACCCCGGTGCCCATGACTGGTTACATTCCACCCCTGCCGCCAAAGCCTGAAGAAGAGGCCATGGGGCCACCCCCACTGCCAATGCCTAAAGAAGAAGAAGAGCTCATGCAGCCAAGTCTTAAGGACTAGCTGAATTGCCTAGGCACTTCCAACCGCCGTCCAGTTGATACTCCTGCGGTTGCCATTGAGGCGATTTTGTCAAAACCCTCTCATAATTTCCATACATGTTGCACAATGTGCATTCATATGTTGCAGTGTAATTTCCTCCATGTTTCATTTACTCCACTTCATATGTTGCAGTGTCATTTCCTACATGTGTCAGTAACCCTATTTTATATTGCGCAAATATATATGTATATATGTTTGCAATTTCCTTTGTTTGACATTGCATATATTATTTTATTGCAATCCCTTCCTGAAGAATACCAAGTTCTATTGGCTCAGCATAATTCCTTGGTGGAGAAAGATTTTGATCAGCTTGTGCAGGCAATGAAAGAGCAAGGAAAGGTGATCATGGCAAAGCATGGTGCTGAGTTGGCTTCTAAGTTGATCCATCTGAACAAACGTCTGAATGATGTTGCTGATTTGGCAAGTAAGATGAGCCAGCTGAAGAAACCTTCCAATGACAATGCCAACGTGCATCCTCCACCAGGTCCAACAGCTTCACCTGCTGAGTCACCCAAAAAACCATCCAGCACACTAGAGAGTATAGGACATGCAAGTACTTCTAGTGCACCAATCCCACCAGAGGACAGAACAGATGAACCAACTCCTTCCCCTCCACCAATCCGACTAGAGGAGAGTATAAAAGGTCCAATTCCTTCCCCTCTACCAATCCCACCAGAGGAGTACAAATGGTCTAGTTCTTTCCCCTGCACCAATCCCACCAGAGGAGAGTACAAAAGAATCCATTACTTCCCCTTCGCTAATCCCATCAGAGGAGAGTAAAAGAGGTCAAGTTCCTTGCAAGCCATCAATCCCTTCATATGTGCATGATATCCCTTCATTTGACCTATTCAAACCTGATGAACCAGAGTTCAAAGGTATCTATGGAGAAAGATCCAGAAGCCCTATGCCTACTGGTAAACACTCTGATTTTGTCATCCATCTCGTTTTATGTGTTCAAATGTGGCTTCTTTGTTTAACACATCCTTTTTTCTCTTTTTGTCTTATATTCTTTTGTAGCCCCATTACAATAACTTTGCTAATCTGTTTCATTGGCACCACCTCATGTGTTGCAGTAGCTATCTATATATGTTTCCATATACTTCAGCCCTGATTTTCAACTGTTTCAATGATACTACCTTATGTGTTGCAGTAGCTATCCATATATGTTTTAGTATATATGTTTCCATATACTTCAACCCTGATTTTCTACTGTTTCATTGGTACTACCTCATGTGTTGCAGTAGCTATCTATATATGTTTTAGTACATATGTTTCCATATACTTCAGCCCTGATTTTTTGTCTAGGGGACACCACCATTGAGGCTTCCAAGGATATACAAACAGGATCAAGCACAATCGAAAAAAGGAATAGAAAGAAGAGAAAACGAATTTATGTTGGCCTTGGGCTGAAGCAAAAAAGATCCAAGGGTGATGATGATGATGCCAAAGAAATTTGGAACAAGTTTTTGGCTAAAAGAGCTTTTGATCCGGGATTCAAGATAGAGGGTGAAAGCCAACCGTGAGTTTACCCACTCCCAACTCCCCCTACCTTTTTCAGTTTGACTTGTCCTACACTTATGCCCTATTTAATGTGCTGTCAATATCCGTTGCACTAGGCTTGCTTAGTTGTTGTGAATGCATTATTCATGTGTTGAAACTAGCTCTTTTTTTGTTTCCATACTTCATTCATACCTGATGCATTAAGTGATCAGTTAGCTTTCGCTTGTTTGCCACCTCTATAGTCTTCATTTTTTTAAACAAAAAATAAAAACTGGCTCTACTTTATTCATATGTGTTCAAGTAGTTATAGTCATAGCTTTATTTAATTGTTGCAAGTGTATTTTTCAACTGTTGAAACAAGCTTCTATTGGTTTAGCACTTCGCTCATCTTTCTTCTAGTAGGTTTTGATTATACATCGGTTGTGGTAATTATATCGCCTTTTCTTTTCTACAAGGCCACCTTTCATTGAGATCGATGGCTTCCATGTTACATACAATGAGTTTTATGACTCCTTCAAGCCAAGGGGATTGGTTGGTAACAATGTAATGGCTTTGTAGAGTTACCAGTTCAATCTTTACCACCTTCAATTGTATGAAGAGAAGAAAAACAAGAGATATAAAATTTGTTATCCCCTAGTTGGCCACGGTAATGATACAAGACCTGTGACTTTCCATTTCAAACTGAATTCCTAGAACTCATCTTTTATTTAGCTTTTTTCTTTTTTTTGTGTGTTGGACGGGACTTCATGAGTGTGGATCCAGCTTCTTTCAGACATGATGGGATTTGCAAGAACATTTACACCAAGATAAACAAAAAATGGACTATCGCCAAGATGGATCTGGTATGTGAGTTGTATATACATTGCTTGGTTTCAATGAAATACAATTAATGATGTTGTCAAAGGTGCCACATTAATTTATTTAATTTTACATAACCATACTATGCAGATGTTCTTTCCGATAGTATTTGAGAACCACTAGGTGCTTCTTTGTGTTAGTATGATCATGAAGCAAATTGCTTTCTTTGACTCTTTGAGTGCCTCCAAGGAGAGCACATGTTTGAAGCGTGCCCAGAACTTGGTAAGTGGCTTCCTTGCTATATCATGTGTTTTCTTGGGTGTTTCAAGTAGCTTTTTCCTTTTAGTTGTTGCACATTCATTCCATCTTTGTTGAAATACCTCTTGATTACCTGTTGCAACATATTTGTGGTTCTTGGTGTAAATTTCAACACATGTGATGACATATGATGTGCATATGATTTAGCTAGCAAGCTGAAAAATACCAAATAAGACGATTCTAAAAATCTAGTGTCACCTGGTTTTTTCTAATTTGTCACTGCCTCTTGTACATGTTGCACATTCATTTTTCAGTTGTTGAAGTAGCTCTTGATTATCTGTTGCATGTGTATTCCTGAATTGTTTCATTGTTTTTCAGATTCAGAATTTTGCAGCCACAACACTAAAACATGGGGTCCTCAAAACTAACGTGTCTCGTTTTGAATGGATCTACCCTATAGGATATCCTAAACAAAAGAATTTGTATGTTTCCAATTTAGCATGTCCCTCCTTGTGATTATCGCCTAATGATTGGATGTTCACATGTTTTATTGTTCCTTTTTTCTTAAAATGTTTGACTGCGAGCTATACACAATGGATTATATGGATGCATGGGATGGCAAGAAGATTGTGGCTTCATCACTTGAGAAAGTATATGTTTCCATTCTAAAATTTTCTTATTTTTACAACTCCTATTTTTGTCTCTAAATATGCTTGCTCAGTTTTGCTCTCCTTTCTTTTTTTCATTATCTCTCTGCCCAGGGGTCGTTGCTAGAGTACACGAAGCACGCTGCTGCACTACTCCTTCTACCATAACACAATGTGGTTAAGCTAGATGACTTTGTGAAGAAGTATGATGCCAACAATACCTTATCAAGTTGATGCTATGTACCTTAGGAGGTGTTAGGAGAACGATGTGCATTGAAACACCATAATTCTTGTAAATATGGAGTCCTGTTATGCTACGTGGCAATATGTGAATGCTTGTAATCTTAGGTCATCATACCCTGGAAACATCATGGCATGATGTTGATCTACTTTTGGTAGCAACTAAAGTCTGCTAGTGTTGCAATGTTGTGTACTGTGAACATCTTTCTAAAAATGTTGGTTAGTTTTTTAGCTTGTGCTGCAACATTTCTTTTTCTATTGGTCCATGCTTGTCAATGTTTGTCCACTTTTGCAACAATGTTGACCATATGCACGATCTAGTAGTCAACCTTTGCTGTTGCATGGCCACATTTTTCAGACGTAATAGTAGTGAGACTCGGCTATTTCATTAGAGCATTTCAGATGTAACAGTAGTGAATTTATGTTGTTTCATTAGAGGATTTTCAGATGTAACAGTAGTGAGACTCGGCTGTTTTATTAGAGAATTTTAGATGTAACAGTAGTGATTTTTTGTTGTTTTCATGACCACATTTTTTAGATGTAACAGTAGTGGGACTCGGTTGTTTCATTAGAGCATTTCAGATGTAACAGTAGTGAAATTATGCTGTTTCATGACCACAATTTTTTCAGATGTAACATATGATTCAGGTACTTGCAACAGACCACTACTACCAATTCGACATGGTCGATTAGAGTCTCAAAAAATGGCATAACAGAACATCAATGTGCTTTTTGCCATACTTCACCACATGCAGCTGCCTTTTACTGCGGGTAGTCTTTAGGGTACATCCACTCAAACTTTGATACATCACATTTGAGAACACCACTTGCAAGAGCAGCAATTAATTGTATTGTAAAATGCTATAAATTAAATTAAAAATGATCTAGTGCTATGACCTAATTATGAACAAGAACTCAAACTAGAGCTTCAACTCCATTTCTTTCATTGCTTTCAGCATCTCTTGTGTTGTTTGCATGTATTTGCATGTTTGAACGCTATGCCCGTCTTCATTGCAATAGGAGTATGGGGGAGGTTTCTTACTTCCCTTCTTCTTCTTTGATTTACTCTTCTTTATAGCTTTCTCCCACACTTGCTGCACAATGCTCTTCTTCCTTTCCACTTTATCCTTTGGCCTTCCTGGTGTATCATTGGTGGAAGGGTTGTTCACCATGGTTGTGTTTGTTGGTCCATCGACTGCCCTGCACAGGTAAGCAGTAAGCTTACTAGCACACTCACTCACTATGGCTAGAGGTAGAAGAAGATATTGAGAACAGCTCACACACACACACATCACAAGCCCAGCGCTGGCCGAAAGCTCTGCTTCTAGATGTGGCAAACTGAACTGCTCTTTTGCATTGCCTTAGGTGTGATATATACAAGTGCTAGTACCTCTACCAGGTACATAGTTGTTGGTGAGTACACCAACCACCTACTCCTAAGGTACACCAACTACTCCTAATACTAGCAGTACAAAGCTTAGATCAGCCCACTACCATGACATGGCTGATGTAATAGCTACCAACTAATGTACTAGAGGTGGCCTATTGCCATACTGCTACAGCAACTATGTACTAGCAATAGAGACTGAACAGCCGAGCTGACCAAATGCCAACTCTGCTACAACAAGAGAGAGAGAGATAAGCAGCATATTATGTCTTACAATTCTTCCCCTAATCCTACTGCTAACCCGATGCCTTGACCTCATCCATGCCAATCATCTTCCTTAGCTTGATGAACCGCAGGTGCTCGAGTGACTTGGTGAGGATGTCAGTGAGCTGTCTACCGGTCTCGACGAACTCGATGACGATCTGCCATCCATCGATGCAGTCCCGGAGGAAGTGGAACTTGATGTCAATGTGCTTGCTCTGATCATGGAGGGCAGGGTTCTTGGCAAGGGCAATGGTGGGCTGGTTGTCCACCATCAGAGCTTCCTAGCTGATCAGCTCGCCCAACAGCCGGCGCAGCCAGACAGCCTAGCACACCATCGTGGTTGCTGCAACATACTCCGCCACGCACGTCGACAATGCCACGATCTTTTGCTTCAACGACTACCAAGCAATGGGGGCCGCTCCAAGGAAGACAAGCACACAGGCTGTAGTCATCCACCAGCAAGAAGAAGTACTTCCACCTGCCGTGCGTCGCCGGTGTGATCGGCCCGCAGAGGTCACCATGGACCAGCTCGAGGGCCTCTGCCGCGTGGTACTTCATGGTCTTCGGGAATGGCAACCTTCTTTGCTTCCAGACTAGGTAGCCATCACACAGCTCACCTGTGTGCTCGATATGAGGCAGCCCAGTCACCATCTTCTCTAGTCGACCAAAAGCGTCAAAGCTGAGATGGTCATACCGAGCATGCCACAGCCACGGCTCCTCCGTGTGTCGTGTAGCCAAGCAGATGGGTTGCTCCACCTTCAAGTCGAGCAGGTATAGCCGGTTCTAGGACCTCTTCACCTTGGCAAGAAGCCGCTGCTCCTGGTCCCTGATCCTGAGGACGCCGTCCTTGATCAGTACCTCACTGTTGTGCTCATCCAGCTAGCCAATGCTGATGATGCTTCAATGTAGCTATGGGATGTAATATACATCCGTCAGCGCGTGGTGCTTGCCGTTCTGGCACCTAAAGATGATGGTGTCGCGCCCTCGGATCGCCACCCTTGAGCTATCACTGAACTTCACCATACCAGTCACGTTGTCGCCGAGCTCAAAGAAGGCTTCCTTGGAGCCTGTCATGTGGTTGCTGGCGCTGGAGTCCAAGTACCACCTCTGCTCCTACTCGTCGCCCACACGTTCGAGGTGGACTTGGGCGCGTGGTTCGTCGAGGTTGATAGCCTTCAGTGCCTTGCCGTGCCCTTCCACTGCCATCACCTCTCCCTTCTCCTTAACCTCAATGTCGTGCATTGCATAGAACGTCACCATCAGGAGAGTGGCCTCATCATCCTCATCAGCCTGCGCTAAATGAGCCTCAGCCTTCTTCTCCTGCTTACGATTTGGGCACTCCTTTGCCCAATGACCCATCTTCCCACAGCATCGACAGGCATTGGGGTCGACCTTCTTCTTCTTCTTCTTCTTTGAAGAAGCCTTGCCATGGCACTTGCCATCACCACTGCGGCTGGAGGAGGCTTCCCCGGAGTTCTTCTCCTTCATCCGGGCAGCCCACTCCTCTGTCAACAGCAACTTGCCTCTGTCCGTTGTTGCTGTGGCCTGCTCCATGTGCTCGTCCACCGCCTGCGGGTGGCCTGTCACATCCTCAATGGTGAGGGTGGACAAGTCCAGTATCGTCTCTATGAGAGAGCGATCTGGATGTACTTCACCACCACGAAGTGGAGATACTTGGAGACCACCTCTTCTTCGTTGATGGTGACGTCGTGGCTCCTCAGCTTACTGATGAGCGACTGTAGGCGGAGGGAGAAGTCCTACACCGACTCACCATCCTTGAACTTGAGGTTGGCGTACTCCTTCTTCAGTAGCAGCACCGTCGCCTTCTTTGCACGGTTAGAGCCGACGTGCATCGCTCCAATGGCCTCCCACGCCTCCTTAGCAGAGTTCTTCGCCCCCAATGGCTCCCTGTACTTCGCTGGCACAGTAGCGAGGATAGCCTCCAACACTGAAGTGTTGTCTTCTTCGTTGTTGGTGCCCTTGTTAATGGCATTCTAGAGCCGTCGGGCTCTGAGCTTGACCTTCATGGTCACAGCCCACTCGCCATAGTTGGTGCGAGTCAGCGTCGGCCAACTGGTGCCGTTGACCTCCCGCACTATGCGCACGATGACCTCCTATCGTGGCTGGGCAGCCACACTGTCGCCCATCTTTAAACCGTTCGTCATCGCCAGCGATTAGTCCGACGACGGTGCTTGTACGGCTCGGATACCACTTGTTGGTCCCTCGACTACCCTACATAGGTAAGCAGTAAGCTTACCAGCACACTCACTCACTATGGCTAGAGGTAGAAGAAGATATTAAGAACAGCTCACACACACACAAAGACAAGCCAAATACGCCGAAAGCCACGCTTCGGATGTGGCACACCGAATCGCTCTTTTGCATTGCCTTAGGTGTGATATATATACAAGTGCTAGTAACTCTACTGGGTACATAGTTGTTGGTGAGTACACCAACTACCTACTCCTAAGGTACACCAACTACTCCTAGTACTAATAAAGACAAAGCTTAGATCAGCCCACTACCAAGACATGGCTGATGTAACAGCTACCAACCAAACTACTAGAGGTGGCCTATTGCCATACTACTACAGCAGTAGAGACTGGACAGCCGAGCTAACCAAATGCCAACTCTGTTGTAGCAAAAGACAGAGAGATCAGCAGCAGATTATGTCTTACATTACCAAGATTCATGACCTTCGCCATTTTTTTTGGTTGAGACAAATCAATTTGGTGTCCCATATCTTTATCGTTTGATCATCAATGAATAATGATGTATGACATTAGTAACTACTCTAGGGTAAAAACCCAAAAAGAGAAACATTAATGAAAGAGGAGTCAAACAAACCTACATGTGACCATCCTGTCACCTTTAAAGTTAAAGGATAATGCCCATACTGTTGATGAATGACCTTTGGAATTAAGAAAATGTGACCTATCAAACAACGCAATAATACATGTGGTAAAACATCAAACTAGAATGGAAATTTTGTGTTTGTTATAAGTCGAGAGAACATCAATTCAAGACCCAACTATCATGAACAATGAATAGAATCATAAAATTATGTAATCCTTGTCTATTTAATATTTAGTAAGGGTGGCACAAAATTGATCTCAATAAGGAACCATATGGAAAACAATCCTAAGTTAACTACAAAATCACACAAACAAACTGTTAATCTCATATGCTTCACATGGAATCCATGATGATGACTCAGCAAAGTGAGAACCAGGGGGAGGGGGACAGGCGACATAACTGGTGGAGACACTGATTCAAAAAATGCAGGACTGACCAAAATCATGAAGGTGATTTTCATACTTTCGTAGGCAACAGTTTTAGTCTAAATCATAGAATCAACAACAATGCACTGCATAAGAAATAAAATGGGACAAAATCCATGCATCATATCTTTTCATATCATAGATAAAAAGAACCAGAGAACCTAGAACATAGTAGTTTGGATGTGATTCATGATGTAATAAACAAGGCAAGAAGAAAGGCAATAGATCAAAGAGCACTTTACTAGTTATTGGCTTCAGTTAATGTCTGCACATAGTGCCACTCGTCGTCTCCGTCATCTGCCCAGACCTGCATCATACAAGCTTGTATGGCTCTGATACCACTTGTTGGTCCCTCGGCTACCCTGCATAGGTAAGCAGTAAGCTTACCAACACACTCACTCACTATGACTAGAGGTAGAAGAAGAAATTAAGAACAGCTCACACACACACAACGCAAGCCCAGCGCTGGCCGAAAGCTCTGCTTCTAGATGTGGCAAACTGAACTGCTCTTTTGCATTGCCTTAGGTCTGATATATATACAAGTGCTAGTACCTCTACTAGGTACATAGTTGTTGGTGAGTACATCAACTACCTACTCCTAAAGTACACCAACTACTCCTAGTACTAGCAGTACAAAGCTTAGATCAGCCCACTACCAAGACTTGACTGATATAATAACTACCAACTAATGTACTAGAGGTGGCCTATTGCCATACTGCTACAACAGTAGAGACTGGACAGCTGAGCTGACCAAATGCCAACTCTGCTGCAGCAAGAGAGAGAGAGAGAGATCAGCAGCAGATTAAGTCTTATAGTGTTGATCGTCCTTTCTTCTTGGCATTCATCTACTTCCATACTTGCTGCACTTCCGGCTGCCTTAACATCTTCCCAAACCTTGTCTATCCTTTGTGAAGCAATTTTATACTTGTCAGGAGCAAAACAAGAGTATGCTGCTATCCCACTCATTTTTCTACACAATGCATTATATCTAAGCTTGTTGGTTGCAGGAACACCAAAACAAGCTTCAGGTGACAAGAGGTTTTCACTGATCTTTATGGTTGCTTCCTCTAACCATCTTCTAAGCAAGTATTTCTCTGGAATTTGTTCTACATCGTAGCTGGTGAATACTTTTAGAATGTGGGGACATAAAAGTCCATCTTGCTCAAATATATTATAGGTGCATGAATATGTTGTTGCATTATCTTGGACAGAAACATTGTAGGTTTTCCATGTTAGCTGACTGCATATGTGCACTTGTTTCAATATCTCTATGGAAACACCTTCGCCCTCTACAGTGACCTGCCCCTTCTTGCATGATGTTGAGTCACGTAACAGCTCCTGGAATCTGAAGAAAACACTCCTAGTGTAGAAGCGAGCAGCTTGCTTCTCAAATGTATATCTCCCCCAAAGCAGTGGTTCTGAAATCTCACCCTTGCAGCCTTCAAGATTCTCTTTCTCAATCCTTGTGTCCATTATGTACTCATATTATGTTACAAATTGCAGCACCAAATCTTGTGGATGCACGAGCTTCTTGAAGAGTGAATTCATACTTTTCGACCTTCCTGTAGTGCTTGTGAAAGGGAATAATGATTTCCTGAAGTATGCTGGCACCCACATTGTCCTAGCAACTGACATGTTCTGAAATGCCTCATTCTTATGCAGGTTGTACTTCTCCTCCAAGCTATGCCACATGAGCTCAAATTCTTCTGGCATTTCAGTATGATTAATGCAAGAATCGAACTCATTAGCAAATTCTTCACTAGAGTTGATCAGCCAACCAAGTTTCTCACAAGCCTTACTCACTACATGAAATTTGCAGCATCTATGTACAACATCAGGGAACACCAGCGCTATTGCAACCTTCATGGCCTTATCTTGGTCGGTCATTATTTTCCTTGGTTCGAGCCCACCCATTGCTTCTTTCAAGGTTCGGAATACCCGAACAAATGATTCAATCGTTTCATCCGGAAGCAAGGCACAACCAAGCAATATGCTCTGCATATGGTTGTTCACACCAACTATGGGCACAAATGGCATGTTGTACCTATTAACACAAAAGGTTGTGTCAAAAAAGATACAATCCCTGAAAGTCTTGTACATCTCCCTTGTCCTTCCATCCACCCAAAACAGCCCCCTAACAGTATTGTCACTATCAATCTTCACCGCATAAAAAAGGTTGGACTCTCAGACTGCTGCTTCTGGAAATACTCCAATGTTGCCTCCATCTCTCTTAAATGAACTCCCTTCCTCAGGTGACTCCTCAAGTTTGAAACATCCTTGCTGTTGTACGACAAGTTCCCAATCCCAGCATGGAAATCAGAAAGCACAGCCATGATTTGCATGGTGCTAATGTTCCTATGGTGGAGTGTCTTTAAAAGCTCATAATCTGCAAACGAAATGCGCCGATGGGACCTTAGCTATTTCCTTCTTCCAATATGCTTCACCAAGGGATGTGTGTGTTCTACTTTCATCACAACCACTCTCCATTTACCGTCCCGCAGACCAACTGCCATATATGCCTTGCAGTCATATTTCTTGACAGTGCTGCACTTCTTTGACGTTGTGGTCAGTACAGCCGAAGAACTCTTCTTCTTTGAGGCCTTAGCTTGTGCTACATCTTTGGTCAAGCTCTTCCTCTTTGAGGCCTTAGCTTTTGATACATCATTGGTCGCCGTGCTAGTTGAAGTGTTGTCCTCCTACTCACTATCTGGCCTTCTGGCATGTGTGCACTCAAATTCCTTCCTAATAAGCTCCTTAGTAATAGTATTGTTCCTTGATGATGCAACCTGGATATTGAAACCCATTTTGAATGCATAAGCATTGTAAACTCTCCTCTCTTCTTCAACACTGTCAAATTCCATGCCCACAAATGGCACAACAGGCTGTGAACACACATCTTCTTCATGGTAAACTTCTTCAAATGACACATCCACATCAATACAGCCTTGCACATCAGTGGCATTGTTGGAGACACTCTGATTGATATCAATTTCACCTTGGCCCTGCAAAACAATGATGCAAAAGTTTTAAGCATGACACACATATGCACTCTCCTTAAAGGAAACTATTGAAACAATGCTTGATGTAGTAAAAAGATCTTACTTCAGCAACAATTCCATGTGATGTATAAACAATTGTGTGTCTGCAATTGTTATTGCTCGAGCTTGCGGCATTTTGTGGCAGTCCAACAAATGTTTGTTGTTGCATGCTGGCACTACTTACATCCTGCATATATCCCATGTTACAAACTGCATAAGTAGATGTTTCACGTGCTATAATTCTATGTTTCCTTGGTACAAACATAAAGACAAGCAACCATGGACTAGATCAAATGAACACAGTAAATACATCATAAATTCGAGGTCATCCTGCTTTACACCCCATGTTGCAAACTGCATAAGTAGATGTTTCATGTTCTATAATACTCTGATAAAAATGGTAATCTGCATACAGTCTGCTACAGATAAGAACAAGGAACTATCTACTATTGCAAGCATAGGTCGGAAGAAGCTGAAAATCGTAGATATTACCTCAGCCACGCCATGAACAGATATGGGAACGCTCCTGGAAATGGCAGCTGCGAGATCTCCATCTAATCGATGAACTGGTAATCTGCCGCTCGAAGCACCTCCTCCATGAGTCTGCTTGAACAAATCCGCCGAATCGTTTGCAACGATTGGGGGTGGGCGATGTGCATAGGGATGATTCTCTGGGGGAAACTCGATTTGTTGCTATAGGTGAGACATTGGGGATCGATTGTTACAACGATTGTCGAGCGGCGAGCGGCGTGGAAGAAGCCGCGCTCGAGCGGCGCGCGCGGCGGGGAAGAAACACGGTCGACCGGAGCAGCACACGACGGGAAGAAAGGAAAGCAAGATTTCTAGGCCATTCGATACATGGGCTTTGTGCCGGGCTTGTGTCCACGTGAACCGTCCGGGTGCCGGCGCTCCCCCTGTTCAATCTACGAATTAATCTGCAATCGCCATGTGCAATGTTTTTTTTGCTAGCAGAAAATCTAGTATTATATATTATGTTTCTTTATCGAACTTGAAATAGGAATTTACACTGCGAAACACAGCTGTGGCGTCCTCATACGAACCTTCATCTTGGACGGATCCAATCCAAATTCAAAAGAGCATTTGGCTGAGCACATTATTCAGAGCTCCTCCGCAGCCAAGGCTTCCAAGCAGCACAGATTTTTGTTTCTACACTGTCTACTGGGATCTCTAGCGGTTAATCATCCACGGACAAACTTTGATGTCCTGCCGGGGGGGGGGGGGGGGGGCGGGCAACATATCGTTACAGTTTAATGCTAAATCACAGAACAAAATGTTGATGTGATTAATCGAACTCGACTCGACTCAAAATACTAAAGATGAAGAATGAAAAATAAAACACTGCAAACATGCCACATTTCCTCTCCATTTATAATATGCCGTAAGTTTCTAGAACAATAACACTTTATTATTAGAACAAATCAGAGCTTCAAATACGTAGACAATAGTGGTAAATTAAAAGAACATCTCTAATTTCTTTCCAAAAAATCATAAATGATTTAATTACTCAAACCAGAAGTGATAGAATAATAGAACACCTCCCAAACCTGAAAAAGAGGTACTCATCCGTTCCAAAAAGAATGTAAACCTCGCTTTTCGAGTAGTCAGTGTTCTCAAGTTTAACCAAATATATACAAAAATGTACTAATGTACTAATATTTATTATTATTATGCATATTAATAATCATTAGATTAATTGTGTAATGTAATTTTCATAATAAACCTATTTAGAGATATAAATGTTGATACTATTTCCTATAAAACTAGTCAAACTTGAGTTTGATTGACTCCTCAAAAAAGCGAGATTTACATTCTTTTAGGAATGGAAGGAATAATAACTGGACTGGCAAAGAAACTATGGTTTCCAAAGTTGAAACCCAATGGCAAACAATGGCGGCAGAAACATGCCACCTGATCAAACAAAAGACATGACCAAACAAATCGTGGAAACAATCAAACAAAAGTACAAAACAAAGTAACAATAACAAACTATAGCTGCAATTTTGCACATTTGGTTATCAGCAACATTTATCTCAACTCCAGGATATTTTCTGGTCAGAAAGTTACCAATCTCAATTTCTATCATCACAATACTGATGCAAACTTCAACTCCAGTCATCTCATCTTGTGCTTGGGAAAGAAGAAAATTTCACCAAGTGCACAGACTAAAATGACACCAGGAGGAGCACATCATTATACGATTTGGCTAACTTTCATCATTCCAGTTTGAAAATAAACTTCAAAAAAAATGAACAAGGAACATAAAAAAAATATGACGCATTCTTCTTTCACAAGAAAAAAAAAGGCATCATTCTTCATAGCAAAAGATAAGGGCACTCAATAACATAACAGGGGTAATATTTGAACAGAAAAAAGGAACTAAGTTTCTACAGTAACTCTATGCCCGAGATAAAAGAATTAGAAATATCAGGACGAACCAATTCTTCTTATCTTAATTCTTAACAAGTTAAATGCAGCAGCATTGAGGGCTCACAATTACTGGAAGTTAATAAATTTTCAGATTGAGGCCTACCTAACTACACAGTTTTTTTCTCCAACACGCAGGTGTATCATTATTATATTAAGAAGAGAAACTAACTACACAATTACCAGTCTTGAAGTTTCATTTAAATTTTTGAATCAACATGCTGAAGCAGGGATTTTTTTGACATATCTGGAGAACAATCCTCCAGTAGGCAAATATGAAGGTACCAAGTAACACTGGAGCAAGACAATGATTGACTAATATTATTTAACTAGTTGCCCAGCGGATATTAGGAGATCCATACCTTCTGTCCATTTACCACCATTGGAAGAAATGCCTGACAGTGTTCTCACCAAATCCTAGAGCACTATCTCAATACTGAATCACAATAATGTCAAAACTTCTTATTCTCAACCAGTCAAACAGTACAAACTATACAAGCCAGATCAACCTTAGCTGACGGTGTAGTAAGTCCTGTGCTAACCCAAGCATCGTATCATACAAATTCGTAATGCCAATATTGTCAAAATAGCACCCAGTGAGCTGAATTTTAAAACGATCTAGAAGCATGCTGGGACTTGGCAATCTCTCTCAAAACTGCACCTACAACAGCAGCATGTTCAAGACATTCAGCTTTGTTTAAAGCATCTAGAAGACTGATGCATGCCTTTACATTAATTCTACATCCTCGTAATCGAGTTTCTTCAAATACATGATATGCCTCAATTGCTCTATTTGCATGGCTCATTCCCTCTATAAGAGCATTGAAACTTGCAGCATCAGGGATTCCACCATTGGCCTTAAACCTCTCAAAGAGACTGCAAGCATCTGTTATGTTCCCTACCTTTGCAAGCCCAGCAATCATGGTTGTGTAAGTCACAACATTAGGGACCAATCCCTGTTTCTGCATTTCTTGCCAGAACACAAAAGCCTTATTGTACTTCTGTACACGGCAAAGGCCATTTATAAGAATACTGTATGTGTAAGTGTTTGGGGAACATTTCATTTCCTTCATTGACTGGAAACAAATAAGTGCTTCATTGATTTCTTCAGCTTTCACTAAAGCATCCATAAGGCTGTTCCATGTGTAAACATTTGGTGTCAAACCCTTCTTCATCATCTCTTCTAATATTAAATAAGCTTCATCTATCCTACCAACCTTTCCAAACCCATCGATGAGAGAGCTATACACAATAACATTTAATTCTATTCCTTTTGATTTTGCTTCCTCAAAAAGCATGTAAGCTTCATCTAACCTATCAATCTTAGCTAAACCATCAATAATTGATCCATATGTAGCAACTGTAGGAGGTACACGTTTTACCTTCATCTCCTCAAGAACTTCATAGGCCTTGTCCACCTTTCCAGATTTGCAGAACCCATCAACAACAGCATTATAAGCCCGAGCATCAAGAGTAAAACCTTGCTGCTTCATGGCATGGAAAATGCTGGAAGTTTCCCTAGCCTGGCCAGCTTTTGTGAGACCATGAATCAAAATGGAATAACTTCGGACATCCGGAAGGAAGCCATAACCCTTGATATCCTCAAATATCGTCCTTCCCTTTTCAACATCACCAGCTTTGAAAACACAATCCATGTATGTATTCAGTAGGGTAACATCAGGCTGGCATCCTCGACGATTCATCTCTTTGAAGATTTTGTGTCCATCTTCTTTCCTCCCATGAATGAAGAAATTCCTTATCAAGGATGTATAAACAACAGGGTTAGCATTGTGGCCTGTATCTAGCATGTTCTCAAATAACCTATACGCGTCGTCAACATTTCCTTTCTTTCCTAATCCATCAATAAGAGAACAATAAGTCACAGAATCAGGATTGCAACCTCTCTGACTTGCAGTTTCAAACATCTCATAGGCCTCCTCAAACTTCTTTGCTTTGCAGAGCCTATCAACCATTATATTCATTGTCAACAGGTTAGGGAACAAACCAGCGCGTTCCATCTCATCCCGTATCATATAGGCCTCCTCTACCTTTCCAGCCATGCAAAGCATATCAATGATGATGTTATATGTCGAGGAATTTGGCTCTGCATCCTTTTTCATGGCCTCAAACAAGGTCAATGCCTCATCAACTTTCCTCTTCTTCCCAAGGCAAGTGAGAATCGAATTAAATGACACAACGGATGGAATACAACCCCTCTCCTTTAACTGATCAAGAAGCTTATAGGCATTCTCAAACTGGCCTGCAGACCCATAACCCATGATCATTGTATTATACGCATACGCCACAAGGCACAGCTCTTTCTGTCTCCATCTGACCAAACAGCTCCTCAGCCTCACTTAGCCTCCCTGCCTTGCACAACACCCAGATCATACTCGTGTACGAAACATCATCTGGCTTCAGACCTTGCGACTTCAACTCGTGGAAGAACTTCCAAGCCATGTCCACATTCCCAGCCTTCCCGAAACAATCAATGCACACATTGTACAGCACAATGTCAGGCTCGACGCAGCTCCCCTTCACCTCGTCTACCAGTGCCAGGGCTCCCTCGACGCGGCCCTCACGGGCCAAAGCCCGCACCAGCGTCGTGAACAGCGGCATGCCCACCTCGTACCCGACATCCTGCATCTGCCGCAGCAGCTCGAGCGCGCGTTCAGGCCGCCTGGCCTCCGCCATCGCGCCGATCAGCACAGTGTACGCCGAGAACGCCGGGCGGAACTTGAGCCGCCTCATGGCCGCAATCACGCGCTCGGCGTCGTCGAGGCGGCGGGCGCGGACGAGCGCCGCGACAAGGTCGGCGCAGGCGGGGTTGGGAACGCCGTACCCAAGGACGCTCATCTCCTCGAGAACTCTCTCCATGGCTGCGATGTCGTGGGAGAGGAACGGGAGGACGGCGTTGTAGGCGTCGGCGGGGAGCGGGTGCGGGGAGGCGGCGGAGGTGGCGAGGAAGAAGGGAGCGGCGAGGGAGGGGTTCTTGAGGGACCGGAGAACGGGTATGACGGCGTCGGCGGCGGAGGCGGAGGCGGCGGAGAGGGAGGAGGAGACGGCGCCGGCAAGGTCCGGCGTCCAGGAGGGTGCGGCGGAGAGGAGGCGGAGGAGCTCGGCGGCGAGAGTGTTGGGTTGGTGCGGTGGCGGTGGTGGGGGTAGTGTGGTGGAGGAGAGGTAGCGCCCGATGCGGAGGAGGGTGGAGGCGACGAGGAGCGGGCGGCGAGCCGCCGGTGCCCGCAGCGCCGCCGCCGCCGCAGCCATGGAGAGGGGTTTGATAAAACCCTAGCTGGGATACAAAGCGGGCTTGCCCATTTGGGCCCTTCGGGCTGGGGAGGAAACGGCCGGTTTGTTCAGAATTCAGATGGACCATGACGTCTTTGGTCAATCTCATGTGAGACCCTGTTAGATTGTCGTACTCCCTTCGTTCCAAAACGTTCGTTGTCATGATTTACTTATCGATAATTTTAACTTGATTTATAGAAAATACGTGTAATATTTTTATCTTCAAATAAATTTATTAAAAAACTAGATTCAAATATCTATCCCATAATACTTTGACTAAATATATATTAAAATTTATGATACATAATTAGTCACCCTGTTCGTTTGATCGTATCAGCCATGATACGGTATTTTTCTCTCACAACAAAACAGCATCAGCCGACTTATAAGCCACAAAAACGATCAAGTGAACAGGGCATAATGTTTTTCTCTCACAACAAAACAGCATCAGCCGGCTTATAAGCCCCATGTTCGCTTGATCGTTTTTGTGGCTTATAAGTCGGCTGATGTTGTTTTGTTGTGAGAGAAAAACATCGTATCATGGCTGATACAATCAAGCGAACAGGGTGACTAATTATGTATCATAAATATTAATATATTTTAATATATATTTAGTTAAAGTTATTTCTCAGGAAGCGAAAACAACAGACATTTAGGGACGGAGGGAGTAGATCTTAGGGCGTGTCCTTTTCTCTAGTCTAGGACCGAGACTAGAGACTAAAACATGAACTAAAATGATGTTTATTTCCAAGGGCTAAAAGGGACTAAAGAGAAAGAGAGAGACTGCGAGAGAGGAAAGAGAGAGAGGTATGGACTGTAAAGAGTCCATTAGTCCTGATTAGCAGCCCCCAAAGGACTACTACATTTAGTCCCTAGTTCCTATTTTAATTCGTGGTGTTTGGTTCAAATGGACTAATTAGGACTAAAATTTAGTCTTTAGTCCCTTCTCCCATGAAAAAGAACACGCCCTTATTTCTTCCGGGTTGTGGGTTAGGGTAGTTCAAGCCTTTCAATCTTAAACAATTTTGAAATTTCTTTAGTCAATCTAAAGAAAAGCGGGAGTGCCCCATATTTGTCTTACACCCAAGACTAAAAGGATTGTATATCGCATACTTTAAACTAGTATCAATACAGGTAGGTTTTGCGCCGCCCTAACACTCTGCTCCACATCTGGAGTTTGTGGAGCACTGTTATAACTCTATCTTTTTTCGTCGAGCAGAGTGCGTGAAGTTAAATTTGTTTGGCTAAAAACGTGAAACATATCTGAAAAATATAGAGTGGAGTAGTTCCAAACACCCATTTGTTTCTTTATGTCTTGCTATTTTTCATATTTAAATTTTTACAAAATGTTTCATTTTAAGAAAACAAGCATGATGTAGCTAACCAGCATTCTCCGTCATGAAGCGTTGATAAAATTTATGTGGTTGTAAATATCAGGTTTTCTATCATCAAATGCAATTAATGCCTTGTTAGCCATGTCATTTTTATTTTTAGATATGGAGGAAAATCATAAGTGAGAAAATCAGATCACCTTATTGTTACAACTGTTACTTTTTTTTTTTGCGAACCAAACAGAGTTAAAATTATTTTATTGCCCCCCCCCTGTTTGTACCAGCGACTAAAAAGCCCTTGGACATTCAGAATGGGTCATAATCTTAGCACAATATGTACGGCTCTCAAAAAATAGCATAATTACATTAAAAATAACTTGTAACAAAACAGTGCAACTTGTTACCATGTCAGTTTCATGCTAAGTTATGCTTAGTTGAAGCAATCCATTTCTTGAAAAAATAGAGAGAGAAAATAATTTTCAAAGGTATTGTTAGAGGCCATATTTCCTGATAGACCTTTAAACCATTATTTATAAAATTCCTATACATAGAATTTGACATTGAAGGAATCATTATTTTTTTAAATGCCAAACAAATGTATCCGGCATCCCGCTCATCTTGTAGAATACTATTTGCGACCGTCGCTATTAGATTATTCCACTCTAACGATTCATTACCTGGTAAAGCCCTTCTAAAAGAGACATTAAAAGAGGTATTTGTGCTAAGAGTGTTAGCTATGGTGGCCTATTTTTGAAGAACAATATTATATATAAGGTGGGATATTGCCACTTTAAAGGATGGTTGCCTAGCCATATATTTTCCCCATAATCTGTTCGGGAGCCATTGCTCAAATTAAACCTTCCTAGATTTACAAATCGATCCTTCACTTTCGAAAGACTTGTTCAAAAATGTGGATTACTAGCCTTTATCTAAATATGAGTTAAGGTTTTGTCTTTGATGTATTTGTTTCTCAAAAAACATTTTCCATCTTTCATTAGAAAAGTTTAAATCATTATTTATCTAGTAAACACTTACTTTGCAACTCTTGGTTTTATATACTGAGATCTCCTTATACTTTTGGTTGGCGTAAAATCAATCATTTTGTCGACTATGTTGATTTTATATACTTCATCGTTCGCTACAAAAACTAAATCTATAATACTCAATTTTTCTTTTAATGTTCCCTAAGGGGTCTCGATAGCATGAACATAGGTAAGTTAGATACAAAAAGAGGTAATCAACATTAGTATTCGGCCCACGAAAAGCAATTTCCCTTTCTAGTTACACAATTTTTTTTCTCAATTCTTTCCTCAATAACCTTCCAAAGTACATTGGTATGCCAGAATAGTGGAAAAGATAAATACCAATTTTGAAACCAAATAGATGTGAACATTGTACTTCTTTCCAAATCAAATGATTTCACTTTCGCGAAAGTTTATCTAAAGTCTAGATAATTTTCTCAAGCGTGCAAAGTAACAACTTCATGTTCTTTGCCTGTTCTACATTATGGTCTCACCATCTCATATGCATTTTGCAAGATAGATAAGTCATCCACCAATAAATGTGGTTTCATGCCCTTCACTTACCCTTCCTCCTTGGCTCTAGAAATAATGACTGTGAACATATCTACCACGAGTTTAAACAACATAGTAGATAATGGATCATATTGTTGCCTTAGGCTTTTTTTTTGTTTGGAGGCAATGACCAATTTATTCATTCACTATTATTCCTATATTACCACCCAAACAAAAAACCTCAACCCAGTTACACCAAAGTATGTGAGAAACTTTTCATTCTCAAAATTGCTAGAGAAAATCCTATTTCACTCTATCATAAGCTTTCTCAAATTCAAACCATGTCATTTTATATGAGTTAAACTATCTAGCCGACATTTATGTTAGCAAGAAATCAACACGAAAGAATGAAGTGTCCTTATGCTATCTTACTATTGCCTCCACTTTTAACTTGACTTAATACGATGACTTACCGATTGCCATTTTAATACGTAGTTGAGCAATCGTGCCCCTTTAGGAGAACCTAATCTTTGTAACTACCTTGCAACTTCTCTAGCAAACCTCAAATCTCTTCAAGACACGTGGAAAACCAAAATAATATATTGAAGATATGCTCATTTACATAGTTTTCTTGATTGTTGATTTGAGTATGTTGATTTTGATAAGAGAAAAATGCATTTTCTAATTTGTTGGAATTATTCTCAAAATGAAGATCTATCATCTCACAAATAAAATTATATAGATTTTTCAAAGAGAAATAAAATTGTGTAGTCAAATCTTCAAAGGTTTATGTGTAAATATTTAGGCCCTATTTAGTGGAGATCTGACCAAATCCGGCTCTTTCGTGCACTGTAATAACTAGTAAGAAGTCGTTTTTCTCTTTTTTTTTCTTAAGATAACCCTATGAAATCACTATATTTTTTCTTCACCGCTTTGATTTCTTCGCATGCCGTAGTAAAGAATTGGAGCCGTTTTAAGTCATGCTAGATTGGCCTTGTACATAATGTGGGACATATGAAAAGCAATATCCGCATATTTCTCACGAACTTTGCTTTCGCAGTATTGCATATATTTTAAATTTGGTAAAAAAAACTATTGGTATCTATAGTTACAAAAAAAACTTCCTTTATCAAAAAAAAGTTACAAAAAAACGACTGAAATGTCTTCGTTCTTCTCTATCCTAAATTACCAAGCTCCGACTAACCGTCCTAATAAAAGAAGCTTGGCGTAAATAATGGCAAAGCAGGGGTAAAGAGAGAAGCAATCAATGTCAGCAGGACAAAGATCGCAAACAGGTGACCAGGCACCGAGTGCAAAAAAGCGACCAGAAAAGCCGGCCGGCGCTGGCAACAGCACGCATTCCTACTCCAAGCATTGACAGGCACGCAGGCGGCGCCGTTCGGCACTGCACACTCACGAGCTCGCGCTGGAGAGTGGATACTCTCCCCCCGGCACCAAGAAACCACGAAATCGCCCCCACCACCTTCCCTCTTGTCCCTCCCGATCTTGCCAAGAACCCAAGATCCGCCTGCGATACCTAGCGGTCCTGTCTTGATCCGATGGTGTCACCGGCGCCGGGAGGGGAGGATTCGGGGGAGGGCGGCGGCAAGGCGGAGTGGCTGATCTACGCCTTCGTGGCGCGCGGCACCGCGGTGCTGGCGGAGTACACGGAGTTCACCGGCAACTTCCCCTCCATCGCAGCGCAGTGCCTGCAGCGGCTACCCGCCGGGTCGTCCTCCGCCAGCACCGGACCTGACGGCCGCGGCGGCGCGCCGGTACGGTTCAGCTACGCCTGCGACGGGCACACATTCAACTTCCTCCTGCATCGCGGCTACGGTGAGATAGATGCGATCAATCGAAGCCTATTAAGCCTTTTGCTTTTGCATTAGTGATGCTCTAGTAGAAGTAGGAACTAGGAAGTTCTACGGGGGACCAATGATTCTAATTTGCTGTGCCTTCTTAGTGGTGCTATAAAAATGTCAATGGCAAAGCTCCAACCTTGATTGCTGCAGCTTGTACTACATAAGAAAAGATAAGTATCCGAGCTCGGGATTCTTCGCAATTGGATTGCAAGATCCCCATAAGGGCATCACCAATCTTTTATGGCAACAGACATACCAGACTGAAACTATAA